CTATTCGCTCCCTCAATTAAATTTCAGAAGAAAATAATGATTTAAAAAAAAAGTTTCTCTTTTTTTTCTGAAATTAACCACCTTAACTTTCCTTTCAAGAATGGTAAATTCAGAAGGAGCGAAGCACATTATTCGCCCCCTCAATTTAAATTCACGGTAAAATAGAATTTTTGATTTCGAAAATAACTTTAAAGTGGAGAAACAAATGTTTTTTTTTAAAGTTATCAATTTAACTTGGCATTATTTTCACGAATGGCTAAATTTCAGAAGAGACAAAACACATCGTTCACTCTTCTATTAAATTTCCGAGGTAAAAAAGTTTCTTACTTCGAAAATCGCTTCAAAGTTGAAAAAAAAAGTTTTTTTCTTCTCCAAGTTTACTAATTTAAACTGACTTAATTTTTGTGAATGTCTAAACTTCAGAAATGTGCGAAACGCATTATATTTGCCCTTTTATTAAATAATAGAGGAAAATAAAGTTTTCCTTATCAGTATAGCTGGCACGCTACTGATAAGGGTCTAGCACGTTGGTTAATTCGGAGTCTCAAACGAAGCTTAAATTTCTTACTTATAAGCAGAGGTTGAAAATTAACATACGGATGAAGATTTCAATATGGGATAGTACCTATACCAACTAACATTATAATGTATTGAAAGTTTACCACACGCTACTAACATCTGGTTATAATATAAAGAGTTTACTCTCGTTTTATTTTCATTTCGACTATTTAAAGGTCTCCACACGCAACATACTAGACGATTCAGTCAGAGTACACAAACAAGAATGTAGGTTGATGAGATTCCCCTCATTTAACATTTAACCTATTGGTAAATGGAAGAAAGAACTTTTGGTTTATGAAGGTACCCACATTATGACTGCTGGTTCTTAGAGAATGAACACACAGGTCTGTTAAATCATAATGGTTCTTAAATACAACAGGCGTTCTGGTTCATGGACACATGTCTGTTATCGAAGGTACCCAAAATCAGCCTCTTGGCTCAGAAGGGCACCAAACCATTCACATTTTAAACGATTTACACACCTCCGACCACCATCGAGAGAGAACAAGAACTCGATTGATGAGCATTTCGTTGGAGAATATATTTCACCAACCAAGTTCTCATTCGGCAGCAAACAGAGGTGTGAGAATCTAAAGCAGTTAAAACGACCCTTCATTCTTTTTCATACGTGTATACTTCCTTTTCAGTAGAACTCTAAAGTCAAGCATAACTGGCTACGCTCAGTTGGCGAATGGGTTGAGACTATGACTAACCTGCGTAGGAACCGAGGGTTCGCGGTATCGGCCCGAGTGAAACTGTTCTAGAGTAAAATGCTCGAGGGCAGGTCGCCGCTAAGCAAGGAGTCATTCTCTTGCTGAGGGCCAAAATTGTGATGGCCTTTCTTCAATCATCCTCAGGATTGTTTTCCAGACCGTCACCAGTAGTCCATAGTGTAGCTGTAAAGCGAGGTAAATACCTACCTATCTCAAACAACAAAAATTAACGAAAATTAGTGAAGAATAGTTTAAAGAAAATAAGAAAAGAAAGCTTGAAGAAGTAAAAAAATTAATCATAAAAGAAAATGATTAAAGAAATAATTGATATTAAAAACAATAAAAGAAAAATTGTACTGTGTTTTCTTTTTCCGGCAAATCAACTTTTTAATATAAAAAAAAAAAAAAAGAGTTTTTATCATTAAAATTTTTTTCCTAGTAATTATTTGTTTTTCATTAGTCAGTTCGCATATTCCCTTCAAATAATATAAATGGGCAGAAATGATCATCCTACTGTGTTCCGTAATGATAGATGAGTAGGGAATAAGCAGGGAATTTTCAAAACAACTTTCAAGCAATGCGCATGTGCATAACTGGGTTCCATAGTTAGAATGCAGTCTCTAGAAACTTGTTCAAATTACTTCCAAAGGGACGCTTCACTATCGTTGCCACCATTCCAATACTTCCTTCCCAAAATCTGGATGTAGGTGTCTCTGCCCTCGAGTTGGAATTCGGCTCTATCTGCTCCTAGAATCCTGAACCATAGTCATGAGAATCTGAAGACTTGTCCAAAAACATTATTAGAATAAACCGTGGAGTGTGAAAAGTTCTTATCAATAAAGAGTGTGAAGAATTCAAAGT